AGGGGGAATCGCGTTGTACAATATAAAGATAGAAGAACGGAATCAACATCAACGGAATACTTCATATAAGCACTACTTTTCTCTGCCAGGCGATGCTCCTTGTATGAAAGCATTTGAAATGTGTGAGTTATGCAGCGAAGCTTCATCTCAACCCATAGTTGAGAAGCCATCAAATATCTCTCCAAGCTCCCGGAATTCAAGAGACTCCTATTTTATGTCATGTATGTTTATAAGCAAACTAGTCTACCCTAGATGCCGGGTGGCGATGCTGGAATCTTGAGAAACCTACCGATGCAACCACCAGTCTGAACCACAGGCACTTCCCGAGGCAAACTTTCTGTTGAATGGTTCACATTTCTCGGTATACCGTCTCAAAACCTCGCATTTATTACACTCGACACGATAGCTCCTGCGGTTGCCAAACTGCTTTTGTGCAGTAGTTATTCGACCCCAACTAACACAAATTAGAAAAGATGGAAGACAAACAGGAGCTGCGCTGGGACACTGCTTTTGTGCAGTGGTTAGTTGACCCCAACTAATACTGTGAAATTGGAAAGGATGAAAGACAAACAGGAGCTGCAGTGGGACGATCTAACACAATGAAAATGATATTTGGTATCGCTCACTGGTCTAGCAATTACTTACTGTTAAATCAGTGATTAGCGATCACTCCAGATCACACCAGCAAGCACGTCAATACATAAACCACTTAGCTATGCTTTCAAACGGACCCTAATTACCGAATGGTTTAGGCATCGCCCAAAAAATTATAGGTTAGCGTACAACAGTGAATATTTTGGAGACCAAACGCACCGTAGGTATATGCACGTAGTTTAAGTTGAAAAGAAACCATTGACTTGCACTCAGTAACTTAGATTAGCACGTCTAGCCTTGGACGGAAAAGAGAAAATAGAAAAAAACGTATGACAAACAATCGACAAAGCGAAAAAGTTGAATTATCAAATAGTTCACCAAAGTAAATTGACTTGTTTCGTAGAACAGACTCAAAGCCAAGTACAAAGTTTCATGCCACATGGCAGAACACACACAAGCAAATCTGTGAGCTGCGAGTTAGCATGAAACAGCAGCATCATAAGAGGTACGGTAAAAAGCTTGGCGAGACAGTCCCGGTTACATTTTTCTGCATCATTCAAAACGCTATCGGATAAGTTTAGCAATCGCCATCCATTTTTTCAAAACGGAACTCTGCAGCTGCTGTCAATTTATTGCTTCAAGCGGAAAATGATACCGTATAAAGGGTGTACGATTCCTGAATCTCCTATTAAACACGTCAACTGTTTCTGAAAACATATTCGCTGACTTACGGAAAAAACAAGAGAGCATTTAAATCAGTAGTTTCGTTTGGGATTTTGATATCTCGGCGCGCCCATTAATTTCTGACTGCGCTTCCCCAGAAAACCTTTGCTGTTCAATCTACAGGTTCACGTATAAAGAAATAGCCTACCATCAAACTGAGCTACTTACACGTGTTTTTGTTTTAGTAGGAATTTAAGGCATTGATGGGTCCACTAAGAAACTGTCTTGCTTTGCAAGTAACTGTTTCTCGTTCTCAGTCCAAAATCCTTGTGAGATAGATATTCACTGAATGAGCACCAAGTTTCTTCCTTGTCCGATTCATCGGTCTTTTTAACAAAGTGACGAATGTGACACATAGTCAAATTGAGGCGGAGCTTCTGCCGTTAGTTTTTGTGCCTGTTCACAGTAGTATGTTTTTCCAGCCAAGGCATTCCTGTGCACACGAGTTNGCTCGCCGATTGAGCACTCCAGTTCTCGAAGGATCTTGTGTATCATTTCACTCCCGATGTAATTTTTGGACCACTTGTAGTACAGGCAGCGTCATTGTCATCTACGATAAGTGTTAAGCACCAGAAATCACAAGGAACTCTAATCACAAGTATGCAAATGGCATTCGTCCAATGAGACGTCCAATGATAAAAATGAGCGGTTGAATGAAGAAATCTCATTGCTAGTGATTCGTTTTTTATCTTCACATGTGGCAGAGGAGACCTTCAGGCAGACAGGAAACAACTACAAAAACAGCTAAACACATGACCTTGATGACATGATTTTTTCGAAGTTGATTTAACAGCTAAAAGGTTTTATAATTTGGCATCACTAAAAAAATGATAGTGGAGATTGCATTACCGTGGAGACAAAACATTATCTTTTCGATGGCGTTTTTCATACCTTCCATAAATATCAATGCTTTCAGTAAGCTGCCTCCTGACATCTACCAGTATTTCCACTCTGCTAAAATAGGGTACAGTATGCGTCTCACAATTCATCAATCTGAATAATAGCCGAGGTTTCCTCATGTGCGATACCTCTTTTACAAAATTTTCCTATGACGATGTTTGTAAACGCAGTGACCAAGCTCGCATCGTCAACATGGCGCATCTATGGAGGTTCACTGCGAATAGAGACGGACAAAATGAAAGAGGTCAAAATTGCTGGTGCATGTCAAAGAAGACGGAAATGCACGATGCTCCTTCGCGCTGCTCTGCTAGATGTAGTCATGTCAGCCGCCTTGTCTTCCAAGGAACTCAGGGGTCTACAAATAATCGCTTGTTGCACAGACACTTGGTAATTACGATCATCCTGTTGACGTAAGGAGAATATTGGTTGTAGCAACCACTGTTGTTGATTATAAGGTTCTTTGAAAGTTCTTGAATTGATTATTTTTACCATGGAGAGCGTGATTTTCACCTGCTGAAACAAATGTAAGAAAAACTAGCATGTTTTCGTTACTACTCGTTCCAGAAACGACAACTTTGAACTAGAACAAGCAGTTTACAACGAAAAATCTTGTAAAGTTGAGAGTAACGTGACAAGGTGGGCTGCAGTCAGGCAGAATAACAAACGAAGGGAACCGAGGAAGCATAGGCTTGAAGTCAGTTGCTGCGGCTACGTCTAATGGATTCCAGTTGTCAAACTAACCCATGAACTTCCACGGTGTTAACTAAGTGTCTTTGGAAATCTTTGTCTGTGACTCCTAATTTACCAGAAGCTGCTGTAGGAGGAACATATCAATTGATTTGAACGCTGGAAATGTGAAGCCGATTACAGGTTTCCTGAATTTTGTGCGCGACTGTCAGTATGCTTTCCTGTAAAATTTACAATCCGGTGAATTGAAAAACATCCTGTGTGAACTTACGCGTCTGCATATTTTTCAGGGGTGAATATATTTTCCTGGTAGATAAAGGCGACCGACATTAGACGAATTTGTGTACACTCAAATTTATTTGTAGCAAACAATCTCGATAAAATACTTCAGCTTATTTTTGCTTATCGCGTTGCTGATAAGGCGACGAATAGTCAACACTAATCACTATGTTCGTAGCAAAACCTGTGCCACACAAGGACGCGAACTAGAATCCACTTGCTGTTTATTGACCACGAAATACGTTTACTGGTTTTATTGACCGCTTTTGTTCCATAAACAGCAAACCGATGTGTTTCGGTTTATAATACACGTTTCTGCTCAGCCAGTCAATTTCGCTGATTTTAGAACTACAGTCAAATTCTGTGCATGCTGGAATTTGGTCGTAATCTGTGAAGCTGATCATGGCCAGTATTAGATGTACAGACGTCTTCAACACACTGATTACCCGCGGGAAAACCAAATCAAAAACGAATTAAGTCACCCTAGATGCCGCATGGCGATGCTGGAATTTTGAGAAACCTATAAATGCAACCACCAGTCTCAACCACAGGCACTTCCCGAGGCAAACTTTCTCCAAAATTGTATTCGTATGAGACGGACATTGAGGAGCGACACGATATTCAGGGTACCCACCGGAGGATACGAAATAAACATTGAGATTGTTTACTTTTGTGTTTCGAATTCTCCAGACAAATTAGCACATATTCAGGGACCCACCGGAGGATACGAAATAAACATTGAGATTGTTTACTTTTGTGTTTCGAATTCTCCAGACAAATTAGCACTTCTGCCAGAGTAATTATGGATAAATAAGACCACCAGAGGTTTGCAGCTACTTTCTCCAATCTCATCACACCACCACCCACTCACCTCAGAGAGTTGGGATGGTCTCTTTTTCGTTTAGGTACAGCGAAATAACTTAGCAAACATGGACTGAGGGTTGATTCTCTATCTTTTAACAGGGAATGTGAGAGTTCGTCAGAACCAGCAGCGGAACGACCCTTGTGAGACAGAACTCAATCGCTCTTTTCCGAAATTTTCTGGGGTTCTGCTTTCATTGTTGAGCATCTGCATGTGGTCAGGAGTGTTCGACGGGACGATTTATCCCCTCTGATTCATTTTTACGGATAATCGAGTATTAGCTCGCCCATCGGAGGCCATTTTTTGCCCATCAAGTTTATCACATTTCCAGGTTATTTCGCCTCTCTTCAAATTTCTGGACCCACAAGGCATCTCGATCCGCACGTAGGCTCTTTTCTGTCTGAAGTCTGACGGTCCGTCGAGTTGTACTGTACTCCTCAAACTTTAGAGGGCTCATCGTTTGAACTCAGCCCTAAACAGGTAATGAACTGGGGGTCTTTCGTTAACCCTATGATGGTCAGCAATGACCTCGTCTTTAATGTAAGGCAGAAGTTTCCCTATACTCAGTACCTAACTGCATTAATTCGTGCCTTTCCAAGTACAAAAAAACAGGCTGACTAAAGATGTAAGCGGTGTGCAGGGTTGCGAAATGAAATGTCATTCACCCTTAAACTCCCATTAATAGGTTGTCCCAGCTTACCAAGTACTGAGATTACAACAAACTGCATGCCGTATTGCTCAACTGAAATATTCACTGACGTTACCCTTTTAGTATTCAACATTCCCTCTAACACCTGCGGCTATAGCGACGGTCGTGTTTTTGTTCTACAATCCAAACCTTTGGAAGCGAGATGGCTCAAGTGTATAGAGCGTGGATTAACTGACCGGAAGGTCCGTGATTTGAACACAAACTATGCCTCTTGACTTCCCCTGTCTAGGTTTGGGCAATCTGGCAGTAACCTTGCCCTCGTGCTTCCTCCGGATGGCATGGCAGCTAGGCACCGAAAGAATGTCAAATCTGAACGACTTTTTCCAATACCTTCCAGGTATAAGAAGTCCTTGTTTCTGGATTGCCTTTCGATTTGCCGCACATAGGAGTTCATTTTTTTCAGTTAGACGTGGTGCGTGACCACTGCTTCTGTGAATTACTATGCTTTCGAAAATTCCCCTTCGTGCGAATCCTAAAATTTCTATCTTTTAGTCTGAATTCGTGGCACAAGCATATTTCTACTGTTCGCTGGATCGTCACCCGTCACGTGGCATCAAAACGCAGACAGTGCATACGCAATATCAATAAATTTGAAACTGCAACACCCTGATATCTGCTGGGGTTGTGCTTCCAACCTGAAGGTTTCCAACCACACATCAAATAAAAGCACCTGGTTGTCCCGTTGTTTAAACTGGAATAGTTATTTATCTTGAAAGGTTTTGCGTAATCAAATAGGAGAGCCCATATGATCTCCAGTTCTTGAATAGTGCTTTTGAAGAAAACAATTTACTTGACATTTGTCGGGGTCCTAGTGGGTCCTAGAGAATTCCGGCTTGTAATTTTTAGGCCGGAGTGTGGCGCACGGTAGTGCTGGTCCGTTTTATTTTTTGTTGTATACAGAACCGTGGGATGTTTAAAATGCCTTCGGGCCAGTGGGTTGGTAAACTTGGGAGATGAAATTCAATGGCCATAATTTCCATGGTCTTAGATCTCCGAAGATCTGAAGGCCCGTTGTCTGCAAATTCTGACACTCACAGTAAAAACGGGAATGTTAGGTAGATACCAGTTGGAGCACAGTGTTCCTTGACTGCCGATCGTCTACGAATACTCTTGCTGTTAGGAATTATACTCTTTTGCGTTGAAATTTTCCTGTAAACCTAAGAAACAAGCATACTATTTTGGCCACGATTCATTGGTTAGGGAAGACACTCAGGCGTACCGCGTATCACTCTGCGATCTGACCTTCTTTGGGGGGATCGAAAGTTATTGAGTAGTAAAAACTACAGCCATGAAAAGCACCAGGAATTATATGTTTCAACCTATTCTACAGAAGCCACCAGTTTCCCGGGAGGTTGCTATAATCATTCCATGATCGCTGCTTCATCCGAGGCTTGGTTATAATAAAGTTTAGGGCGAATCCCTGTTGGATTTTCAGTCGGAAGTCAGCATAGACAAATAAGCAGTAAAACCACATTCGAAAGCAGAAGTAATCGAATGAAAAGAACCGTTTACTAGTGGTTTAATCAACGATTAATAAATCCGATATGTGATTAAGCTATCGCTTAGAATACATTGAATACTAACTCAAAAGTTAATTAATATTAATAAAGTTGTCGTTAATTCTCGTATTAGTTTTTTAAAACGGAATTATCCGGATTTTTTGTAGTGTCATATTGGACCCTAATGAATATTATACTTTTCGGTCACGATACCTAATGGGAAAAGCAGATTCGAAAAAAAATTATTGAAAAGCTTTCACAGACAGATTAAAACATTTCTGTTCTCCCTTGAACTGGGAACAGCAACGATTTCCCGAGAACTGTGGTGAATTGTTCATCGTTCCTTTGTCTTACATAGTTACCAATTTGATCGGATACCTTTTAAGGGTGTCGGCATCATCCATGAAAACGAATCGTCACTGGCCGCTCTGACATAATTACGCCCAACTTTGGCACACGAGACACTAATTCGAGATCATCCAGACGGTATTCAATCAGTTTAGGAGTGCTTTACCCAAATTGAATCACGTCAGAGACCCTGGATTATTTTGAGGTGTTCACTGCCAATGATTCTCACTAAGGATCAAGTAGCTGTGCAGGGCAAAATTTTCACAAATATATAGAAGTTTTTGAATCAACATTTTGAGCTCTTTATTCTTGTTCCCCTTCGTGTGGCAGTCTGCAACGCACACTCATAAAGTTTTCTAACAATCACCTGGAGTTGTCGTTCTTGCCATTAAACCCTCCTGTTTGTTTAACTCTATCAAATGACTGAATAAACATTCAAATCTAGGAATCAATATAGCACATGACCCTGACTAGTGGACTTAGTTGCGCATTTCGTTTCGTGATATAGGTGATTCTGCTTGAACGTAGCTATGAACCTGACAGAATATAGCATTCACGGAGTGGTCCTGTGCATGGAGATAGTAAAACTGGAAAGGTGATTCATACGAGGCAAGGCGCTTTTAGACGGGTGGTAAGACATCTGGTTTCGAATGAACACACTTTGTAAGCAATTGTATTTACCCACTCTTTCTAAAGTGTGGCGTTTGAAACTGTTAAGGTGATTCATACGAAGCAAGACGCTTTTAGACGCTTTTAGCACACTTTGTAAGCAATTATATTTACCCACTCTTTCTAAAGTCTGGCGTACCAGATGACCCTGGAGTCATATGAGTTTCCCTACTCGATTAAAGCAGAGGAAGTAGGTGGATATCAAGCTCGGAGAACAGAGAAACTCACCCCAGCTGGAAATGGTTAGAAACTCAGCCAGTTTCGCTGACCATATGTTGTACAGGCTAGCATTTCACTTGGTCTGGCTAGAATCATCTCATGTATAAGGTGGAGGGGGTATTGACATGTGTGTGCATCTAGTAAAAACCAGTTAAATGTGATCAACACAGGCAGCTATGCAGCGAGAAAACTTCGTCAGTTCGCCCGCACAAACCTGCTTTGTGATTAAAGATACTGGAACCGACATTGGTTACAGCTTGAACAACTTGTATTGACATGTGCATCTAGTAAAAACCAGTTAAATGTGATCAACACAGGCAGCTATGCAGCGAGAAAACTTCGTCAGTTCGCCCGCACAAACCTGCTTTGTGATTAAAGATACTGGAACCGACATTGGTTACAGCTTGAACAGCTTTTTTCCGTTCCTTTACCATATTGCCTGGGATGAACTGTCTTTGACCGACCTGACATAACAGTTTTCACCACGCAGTTTCCAACTTCATCGAAACACTTGCAGTTTTCCAGTTATTTTCGAACGATCCCACCTCATATCGTTGACGAAACTGCGCACTTTGACTAGATTCCACTCCGAAGGGGACAAATGAAATTCAGGTGAAACTCGCATACATATACTTATGAACGGGCGGGAAACGGAACTCCAGACTGGCATCATATAATAAAATTATGCCTAGTTCTTTTAAGCTTACACCCGCTTCGTGCTGTGTCTTATCGGTCTGGGGAACTTTTTTGTTATCCTCGGTTATCCGACAAAATATGCTAAACATGTCTGGTGAATATGTCTCTGTTCGGTTAAAATAAAACGAAAATGTTCATCCTCAAACGTTTGTACTTTATAAATATCTGAGTTTGATGTATTCTGTGACGAAAAACCTGATGCGAGATTCACGACTAATTTACTGTGTAAGGGACATGTCGTAATATTGACAGCTTTGGCTGTGTTGATCATGTGGCTATCGATCTGTTCGCCTCAAGTAGAGGTTTCTCTACCGACGTCGTGTTACTAAACGTGGGGACATGAATGATTCGGCGTCTGTTGGATACCACATGATGGTGCTAACGACGTTATCTAGTTTTGTGGTGAAAGGAACTTGCAAGACAGTATCAGCTAAGCTCAGAGGATGGATCGACGTCCATCTGATCAGTAACGAACACAATTTAGTAGACTGGACTTATCGCTGGTGTCCGTGACATGGGCAGCTGCTGGTCGAACCATCACTAGCCACCACTCATCTGATTACATGTTTTTTGCGAAGACACCGCGTATTTTATGGTCAGATTTCGTTCCATAATTGATTTCATTGTTGTACGCATTTGCTTCCATTAGAAACTGACGTGCATTAGAGTGATTAGACTATTATTCAGGGCTGAATTCATTATGTGGAGTGTTTTAGTGCTTTACTAATCGAATGCACGCTGTTCTGTTTTTCACGTTGTCCAGAGCAATCATTTTAATTTGTCCGGGCTCGGCAGGAGGCGGGTTTTGGTGGACATGACTGATTATGAGATATACACTAAAATGACGAACGGTAATTCACCGAATGCGTGTAGGCTTTCAACTAAGCGATACCAGTTCGCTGTTAACTTTCTTGTAACCAAAATGTACAAAATTCCAAATCGGATCACAAACCACACAGGATTTCAGGTAAGGCACGAACAATAAAGTGATTTTCTGAACTGATACAAACGTGCACTGAGTACACAAATGTCACGAAAGTGGTTTACACAACCTCAGGTGAATCTGCGGATCCGATTGGATAACCACGATGTGCAACCCTCTCGAGTACGGTTGTTGCTAGGAATATTAAACTCGCATGAACACCCTGGGTGTTCATTTTATCCGACGGGTGTTGTCCATTATCACGAAGCAAACCAGTATAAACCAAACGAAAGTATTTATTCCTCAATCATGCGAGTAAAGTTCATCCGAATCGGGCATGATATTTTAACACCTAAAATTTGTAGATGTTTGCTGAACAACTATAAGCCCAGTAAAACAAAAACCGACCAGGCGGTTGTTGTGCATCAGACTGATCTCAGAAGATATCTGTTAATTTTCTAAAACTGTCATTTCTATATTCCTTGTACAATTGTGTAACTCCACGGAAATGTAAGTACTTCGAATTCGAGACAAGGCTATAAAATTTTATCTCGGTCACTGTCCACATTCGTTTTGAATAGTTTTTTTTACAAAACCCTTATTATTATATATTATGTATTATATATGTTATATAACTACCGGCCGGTCAAAATAGAACGATATCATTAGTCTGCAACTTCATTTTACTGTTCCATTTCATAAAAACTTAAATCTCTTACATATTGCAATTTTTCATCCATAATTCCGATGACTCAAGACGGACAAAACGGAGGAATTGCACTAGCTTACGGAACTCGTGTTTCCGATCTTGTGGTAGTAGACGGTCGCATACTCTCCTTGTTTGGAAACATGCGACACTGAATGAAGGCTGCCTTAATTTCAGTGATACGACGCATTTACTCATCATAATTTGGATGAAATAACCGCTCCGGAACGTCGAGCATACGTACACGAGGCTCTAAAGTGTCCTTTTCGAGCCAAAAAAGTGAACGTCATTGATGAAAAGTTTGAAATATTAAACTCTGTCGTCGACGTTTACTTTTTTCCATAATAAAATAATATTGTCCACACCGGTACTATCTGCATCATTCCTGCATCCTAGAAGTCTCGAACAACTGCGGTGGACGATAACTAGGATCTGTCTCTGTGATTTCGGAGAATCAAATTAAGTTTTTCCCAAACATTGAGAAGACACCGGGCTGCTGAAACATTATGAAAACTCTGTCCAACTTGGTTACAGCTGTCCTACAGGCTGAATTTTGTGGACACTGGTGGTATTTGTTTTGGGCCAGAGACCCAGAAGCTGTGATCCAATAAACAAAATCATAGTGAATGGGGCTGATGGAGCCTGTGGCGGATGTTGTGTTAGAAAGTCATTGAGTTGAATGCCGGCAAGATAGTATTATTGTTTCGTTCGTTTTAAAAATCACTCATCTGGTCGGTCTTTTGTCGTCCCGGTTTTGGAATATCTAACAAGAAGCTGAATTTTATTCTTCGAAAATCCGTACATATTTCAAAAAGGATCTTCGTCGCGCAAACGCAGATTATAAATACTCTTTGAAGTAAGCAGAGGAGAACTTCTGGAGCCATATGGGGGTATCTAGTTGTTCACTACGGGTCACTTGTTTCACAATGTCATGAATATGGAATACAAATAACTGGAAGATATCCAAGAATGGAGTGCCAAATTTATGAAGGCTCGTTTGCTGCAACAAAAACCAGATCAAACGATCCACTGAGAATGGAAGTGATGAAATGTTTATACCAAAACACCTGTCCCCGAACAAGACGATGACTTCAACGCTTGCCTCTCTTAGGCTGTTACTCTTACATTCGTTCCCATGGTATTCCAGCAAACGTGTGATATGCGTCCACATTTCTTGAGTACCTACATTTCCGTGTACCACGACGATCCATTATGCATGAATCGTGCAAATAAATCAATAAACACCGACTATAAAACTGGTCATGCTCTCACTTTGCGTGTACTCACCCACCCATGTCTTTCGTTGTCACGCGTGATAACCCTTCAGAAGCCAAGCAATGAGATCTCTTTTCATTCACTAAGTAAACTTGCCATGGCGCTGCCAGTTCATGAGTTTGGCCACACTGGAGGCTGCTCCATCCTGAGGGAGGTTTTCAGTCATCACAAGTGAGTACACCTTTCGAGCTGTGCGTAGGTACCTGGAACGAACTGGGAAGTCGCCGTTTTCGAGAACGTTTGGTTAACAACAAATCTACAATTTAAAGGAAGCAGGCTTTCTTTGCGGAGTCATTTACTAGAAGATGCCGACTGAACAGTTACAGACTATTAGACAGGGAAACAAACCTCTCATATGCATTTTGTTTACAAAAACTGAATATCCATCTTCTCCTCGAACGCGTCTTCCTGAACTTTTATAAATATTCACTGACTATCACTCAAATACAAGCAAATGCTACAAAGGGACCGCACAAATTCCGTAATAGATCTTACTTTTCAAGAGACGCAAAAGGGATTCATGAGAAAACATACTACTCGTATGTCCTCAGTCGGTAGTATCACCGTTACACCGGTGGTTTTCCGAACTTTTCTAAAGACGATGGGTAGATCTTTGTTATCTGGGCGATATTATTTGGGAGTGACTAATCAAGGCACACAGCATGAACGGAAGATCTTGCTCAATGGTTTTTTGCCATATTTGTCTCGAAAAGCAGTCATTCTGGTCTGGAAAACGATTCAAAACGGCTCATATTGATTATTAATTTATGGGGCCTGGCAGTCGAAAACTGGACACTAGTGGATAGAAACTTTGCGCATATTGTATACCAGCCATCAAGTATAGTCATTGGCCTGTAGGCTGAGCTGGTCAGTTGCAAGCGTTTTATCACCGGCCGAGTTGACATCTGAGCATTGTGATTGGAAGTTCGAGGTCACTGCACGCATATGGGTCGATACATAGGCTCTTCCAGGTTGACCTCGGCCAATCATTGATCGCTTGGTTGAGCAATCGCGTTATTTTTGGATGAGCTGTCGTTTGATGATGAACTTGGAAGTTTTGTCGGACAAGCATGGTATCCTCACAAAAAGTCACAATTAGGTATGCTCAGGGTTTTACTGAGAATGTGGTCCAGTGGTCCCTAAAAGAAATTCACCCCAGCGATATTGTGCAATCACGATTTTTATCGAAGGTGGGAGAGACGCAGAGTGTCAAATCCACGAATATCACGAACAAGCAAAGCTGAAATATTGCGCAAAACTCTTCAGGGACCCAAGGCGCCATCCCATCGAGAAATTTTGGCAGGTGAGACAAATGCTGTGTCGTCATTCAAAATTTTGGGCAAACTGAGTACACCCGTCAAGTATGAACAAGCTTACTTGTCCGGATGTGATAATCCGAATGCGTCTAGTGCGAGCTTGAGAAGTTGTGGTAACTTGCTGATCTCACCAACCACATGTCCGTAGGTGAAACCGCGACATGACCTAGAATGCGTACTGTTGATGAGGTCTAATACAGGCGAAAATCTGGTTCACTGTTTAGTCCTTTGATGAAGAAACCTGAGATGAATGTGAATGGGGATTCTGCAGATCTGGCAAATACTACTTTCAAGCAGTAATGAAGTAACCAAACTTTCCAGTACCTAAACGGGTGCAACTCGGTCTGTTTACTGTGACTAACGCGAGAACAACCACAAAGCCTCCTTCCTATATGTAGCATTGGTGCAAAGTGACACAGTTGGTGGAAATTCAACACATCCGATCTATATATTATGATTCCTGGTCGATACGTTAAAGTTGCGAGCAGCTCGACCCTTGATCCTGTGGACTGAAATTAGTGGATTCAGCGGTAGCTACTTCCCCGTTCAGTATGATTACCGACAGCACCGATGGGAATTTAGTAAAAGAGGCACCAACTCTGATTTGACCGTTTTTCATTTGCGCTTGTTACCACACAATGGAGTGTAAATTAGCCTCAGTTCCCGGAAAAAGATCTCCTATCGGCACATGTGTTTCGTGCAGATCACAAGGGAATATATTTATCCGACAACAAAGAGACTGCACTGCTCTCTTGCGCTGTTTTTATCGATACTATTGCCTAATTTACCTCGTGAATAATGGAGTTCTTTGCTAATACACTGGGGATACCGAGGTAATCAGTGAATGCCGGCCACTCAATTAGTGTGGATGGATTGGTAAATCATGAATTATAACCGTGTACAGGTTTCTCATTACCAAAAAACTGATTAGGCATCGCGACAGCGTTTGCCTCCGGAAGTGTGTCAGCGGAACAAACTGACCTAGGTGGAAACAAATATTCCCTCGGGATTTGATTAATTGCCTCCTGGAATTGCACATTTGTTTAGAAATATCGCTACGTATCCAAACGGGAAAAAGACATTAGCAATTTCTATTTCTATTGGAAACGGGTGATCATAAATTGTGGGATTTTGGAATATTTCACTGGTTGGGGGAGCTTGTTTGCTGCTTGCATTTCCGGCTATTTATTCGGCACGCAATATGTTCGAAGAAACACCCTTGTTAAGCGATAGGACCTGCATACGATAATGCATCTCTCTACAGACTGAAATACTTACTGATAAGGGTTTCGGGGTAAAAACAGGATGTCTCAAATTGATTCGAACAGCTGTCACTCTCTGTCGAACAATTCCACTTAGGACTCTTGGTACGACAGTTGTGCATCTGATGTGTGGACATTCTTGTACTATGCTACTCATTACATACGGAAACGGAAGGTGGATTCCGTTTGAATTTTTATCGGAAGTTTAAGAATTTTTTCATGGCATAAACTATTACAAAACTGTTAGCACAACACGAATGATTGTCCGAACTAATCATTCATTCTTTGTGTAACGACCGGCTGGTCCAAAAAGGATCCTCGGATTTTCACACACACTTACTAACGTAAAACTGGGCGTCGACTGTAACTTTATAAATCAGTCGCCGGCGTTTGAGATACAGTTATCTTTCTAGACAAATAAGCCTGAATTAAAAGCAACCTCAGAAGTAACTTGTCCTGTTTAACCTACGCAAGCGCTGAATTTCAAGCCACTTCACGATGTCGGAGTACTTTTTCGCCGATCGTATTCACCAAGTGCACGATTTGATTTGTACAGATGATGGATTCTGTGGATTTATTTGAACTGTGAAAGATACTCATTTGCACACCAATCTGTTTTTGACGGGGGATTCGCCCAGAATCTAGCTGAATTTCTCGCTTTTAGGCATCGAACCGCGCCTACTTGGTGAGGCCCAAGAAGGGCAAAACCGGTCATGAAATGTCGAAGCTTCTTCAGCAACCTTATGAAGTCATGTTATATGAACTGTGTTTTGTGAAACCGTCAGATCTTCTCTCCTGTAGAAGTTAGATTGGACGTTAATTAGTTTAACCAGTGAAGGTATTCCAGTGATAAATATTCAGAAGGAGATATTTTTGTTCGATCACTGTTTACAAACCATCCAAAATCCAAACGATTTTCACAATAAGTCCCTCTAAAATCTACAAGGGAAATAATTCGAATCTACTTGAGTCATCATCCTGGATTCGGCGCCCAAATCTGATGAAAATATCGTGCGTTAATATTTTTAATTTTTTTCAGTTGTACATGCGGAGGCGAGATGGCGCAAGTTGTTGGAACGAGAATTCACTGAAGGTCCACGGCACAGTTCGAACCCGACCTCTGCCTCTCGACTTCCCCTGTCTAGGCTTGGGCAGCCTGGCAGCCCCCGTGCTTCCTTCGTGTGACATGGCACCTATGCACCGGAAGGGTGCTACAACTGAACGTGTCAGAACCTGCCTATTTCCTAAGTATAAACACAAACTGCAATGCATTCCAAACCAGGGGGCCATTTAATTCCAGGGAACTTATTGCTAGTTCACGTGGCTCTGACTGAAGTTGGATTCGGTATGGATGTTGCACAAGGCTCCCTATTCTAATGGCTGCGAAACGAAGTCGCGGTAGACTGTTGATACACCGAAGACAAGATAAATCGCTTAACATCAAAGGTTTTTCATTGTCCTGTTCTAAGTATGGCAAATATACGAGGAATTAGAGGACAACGATGAACCATAAGTATATCAGCGAGTTTTTCCATACTGCACTCACAGTAATTCTGACCATCCCAAACGGCTTCTGGATTCTATAGTGGCCTGGTGATTCTTGTAACCAAAATTCATTTTTTGCTGAAGTCATGTGAAAAATGAAGCGTAATGCTATTTGAAATCTCAGTGCACAGTACGTCTCAGCTTTCAGTTAATTGATCTGACGCTGAAAACGTTGTGTAGTTGGAATATCGTTTTGTTCAAAGCACGCAAAAGTTGTTTTGCGATAGTTACTAACACAACTGGATACCATCGATAGTGGTTTTATCTTAGGACTGATGTTTGTTAGGTGGATGAAATTCCTAACGAGGTGAACAAATTGGGCTTCTGTTTTTTCTACAAACAATATTCTGCTCACGCTTGACACGCAACTACAAGCCAGCAAGTTTTTTCTGTGCACATATAACTATAAATTATACAATATTTGAGTTATCTCCCATTTCATGCATCTCATTTTGATAATTACCTCATCCCTGTGGTGACACGGATATTATTCGGCAGGACTAATGGAAGACCCTCTCGAAGTGGTTCCGATGACTTCTAAGTATTTCCTCAGTACCTTGCAATACAGCGGGTAAAAGCGTCTGTCAACAAAATCGAACTAAAGTTTAGGGATTACCGAATTAACTACGAGAAGTTCCATGCAACCGGCCTATTTATACCTTTGGCATACTGGTGCTCAGTGAAAACCGCTAGTTTTCTCTGAGGCGATGCAGGTAATATCACGCAAAAGCTGTTGATTCCAGTTGTTGAGATTATCTCGCAACAGAGGCACCAAACCCTCCAAGAATAACGTATGCTCCAAACTGTTTGGCTTATTGTTATCCTCTACCATTACTTGATGAATGCTGAACATCTGACTGGTTTAAGAGTTCGCTATCTTGTTACCCTGAAATTTATGGATTTCGGCTGTCCTAATGAAAGCAACAAACAGCTTGTTGCAAATTTGGAGGCTTTTACAAACTGGAATGAGTTTAAATTAGAACTCAAGCCTTTTGATCACTTCCTCCAAAATGTGTCACAAAAACGATTTGAGATGCGGCTCTTTTGCGAACCAATAACTCCAAGGAACAGTTGGTTTACATGCTACGAGACATTCCGCAGGGAGATTTTTATTAACTGAAGAGCACCAGATGAAACAGATCTGAATTTCGAAGGTCAGAGGTTTTCATAGAAAGTGTAATTATGAGTATCGAATGTACCGGAGTTTTACATATCAGAAGGTGAGTTCTATTGACTGGTTCACTGGCTCGCGATTGGCAATCGCTTTCAGTACTAAACTGGTGGAACTCGTAACCTTAGGCATTTTCCTCGTTGGCTCCGTGGGTGATCCATTGTCTGAAGGTTGTGCCGATATTCCGTTTTGTCACTAGGATTCTTTGTAGATGCCAAATTTAAGTGTGGCGCTTGTTTGGCTCTGTCGTGGAGCATCATCACCCGTACGAAAAACCCTCTGGCTTGTTTTCTAACCCGATGCGCCATGATCGAAGCTGCATGCAATTCTACATTGATCTTGTCGAAAGCAAGCCCATGTAGTGGTTGTGATCAGACATGCGTAACTGGAAACACAATCACCCACCAAAGCTGAACCAGTGCACGATGGAGAATGTTGACAAACGTCTTTCCGCCTTTTACTAGCTTCTTGTATACTATTTTACCAAGCAAGCCTCATCCGTGCGTATATGCGCATGATGTCTGCACGCATATATACCTCTGTAAAACAGAAACTGATTTCTCCACCATTCTGTTTAATTAACAAGGTCTACTCTTTTTTAACTCCTGGAGAAATGAATTGCGTCTGTCTCCCGTATCTCGTCGGTGGATGTCTCCGGTACAATATACCGAAGGACTTGAAAAGAATTTTCTAGATGAATGTAGTATGCTTTCTGCTTGCACAACATCCAGCAAAGTGTCATTTTCCAAATAGTTCTTTGCTTGCAAGGAATCTCATAGGTGAGAATGGACATTGTCATATGTGTTGAAAGAGAAAACCCAACTATTCGATTAATACTGTTTGAGCTCAGCAAAAATGCTGGCATATGAAATCATATTTACGATTGTTAATTTCATCAAGGGGACAGCGCGACGGAAAAATTTGTTGTCTGCTAGCTTGCGACAACCAAAAGGTAGATGTTTTTGATTCATCTGATAGTTCCCCTTGTATCGTCCGAATGAATTCCTTTTAAAACTTTGAGGTCTTTTAGAGAGCAAACACTGCTGTGGTTGACAGGAGAATTATTGGATCAAACCAGGCCCAGGGTTCTTTTTTCTGAAGTGGAACAATCCATAGTGAAATGTTATCCTTGTATATGCAACACAATTCCAGAATTCACATTTTCTCAAAGACACCACCAAATAACAAGGTGACCGGATGCTTTTCGTTGCAGAAGAGTACTTTCGTCAGTATCCAAGCTTAGAACCATTCCGAACCCCTTCTCTCCAGATAAAAAGATGCTAAAAATATATTGTAACCCACATTTGTTAAAAGAGACCTACACTATCCAGTTTCTAAACGACATTCATGCACTTTTCTAGGAGAATTCCAACCGTTTTGTTGCAGATGTTCGTGAAATAGGATCTGCAGGTCAGGATGCTTCGGTTTCCACGGCTGTCAATAACCTGGAATGTAGAGGTCATGCCTATTTGACACTAAAGCTTTACGAGCCCTCCTAAGAAACTAATCGATTGCGCTGAACGTTAAAGGGGAGCAGGACATTTCCTTATTTCCCCATCTACCTGACTACTAACGAGTAGCTAAATGTTAGATAACTGCATAAATAGTTTGACGAGGCACGTTGGATTGCTGATGACCAATAGGTCAGTGTTGCACGGGGTTGGTAACCATAACCTCAGAGATATCAGTAAATGGCAACAACATGGTGACCAATGGTTTATACGATGTGCATGATCGTTCGTTATTCCCCATCTTTTCTAATGAATGATTACCTTTTTATTTACTTATATATTTTTCGGAGAAATGTCAGAGGATCGTATCACACAGGTGGCGCACACGGGTGTCGCAAGTTTGTCGTTTCTGGTTATGTTCTTCCAAAATATCGCTTCTGTTTCAGTTGAACGATCGCGAGAAAACAGTCCAGAAATGGCTATTCATATGATGGAATGAGGAGTTGAAACTGTTTGGATTCTCACATAGATGCGCAAAACTTCGCTCACAATATTTAAAATGACAACAGAACATAAATATAGCAATCAGCCAATTCCTCGTGGAACTGCC